TGCACAGCTGATTCAGCCTGGGGAACTCACAGAGGAGCAGCACCAACAAGTACATCTATGCATGCAAATGCACAACAAAATTGCAGTATTGTTTATATTGTCACCAGTTACCATTTATCACCTCCCTCCTATTTGTCATAGCTACAAGCCCAGTTGGTGGCAGCTGTTGCAGGAGGACAGCAGATCCAAATCCAGACAGTGGGGGCACTCTCTCCCACTCAACAGGACAATTCAGAGAGAAGGGTACTGGGAACTACGGTTGCCGCATCCCAGGGAGCAGGTGTCCTCCAGCCGGCCAAGAAGCGTAAGGTGGACATGCCCATCACTGTGTCCTATGCCCTGCCTGGTCAGCAGGTAGCCACAGTCCTGGCTATCCCTCAGGGACAGGGTCAGCAGCAAAGTTATGTGTCGCTGCGGCCAGACCTCCTAACAGTTGACAGTTCCCATCTTTACAGTGCCACAGGCACAATCACCAGCCCCACAGGTGAGACCTGGACCATCCCTGTGTACTCTGCTCCTGCTGGGTCTGGAGGCCGGGAGCAGGTGACACACATTGCCATCCCCCAGGAGGCTTATGGAACAGTGCAAGTTTCAGGGGCAAACACTACAACAATGACCACAATGCCAACACAAGTCACTATTGAAAATGATAAGCTGAAAATCCCTGCCACTCAGAGTCAGACAGCACAGGCTGTTTCTAGTATAACAAGCTCTGGAGTAATGGGGGGTCAGGAAGAAGTTGTGCACACACTCGCTGCAAACACGCTGTTCCCTGCCCAGCTGATGAACGGAAACATTCACATCCCGGTGGCTGTACAGGGTTACTCCAATGCTACGCAGTCCCTTATCTGGGACCCACAGCAGCAGGTGTTGCACACGCAGGGTCTGTCAGCGCAGGATGCACAGCAGCTACAGGTACTAGCACATTTGCTAAACTGTTTAGTCTTTTATTTGGACCAGTAGACATGTATTTCTTTATTGGACATGTTAATCATGTTGTATTTGTTTATGTGCAGGGTCAGACGGTGGTAGCAGAGGTTGATGGCCATGGCCAACAGCAAGTGCAGGTGCAGGAGCTGCTGCTGCCTGCCACGCTGAAGCCTGAAGAGGGGCTGGATGTGTGGCGACTTTGGGCTCAACGGAAAAATGCAGAGCTTGATAAATCAGACAATAATAAACTAGCCCCAATTGGCCGTAAGTGCATACACACAATGTTTATTGGAGTGTCAAAATAATATTTTATGTTCTGGCTTCTCACCCGTCAACCCGATCAATAATGTGTGTGTATATTTTAGGACGTCAGGCACTACGTTTCCAGGAAGACTTGGTGMCATGTGCAGTCGCTGAGCTCTGCATGGGTCTCTCTTTGATGACAACAGACGCTCGGGGGTTGGAAGGGGAGACTTTCGAGGCTGATGTTCTCTATTATGTGTTTCTGTGCATTCAAAAAGTAAGTTCACTATCCTCACAAACACAACATACTTACTGTTGGTTGTGCTGTAGAAACACTGTTTAACTGCAGCTTTCCTTGTGCTTTCCCTTTCCTCCAGTATCTGTTCGATAATGGCCGTGTGGATGACATTTTCTCGGATCAGTACTACACCCGCTTTGCTCACAGTCTGCACCAGATCCTGGAGCCTTGGAGACCATCCGTTCATCCGCTAGGTGAAGAAAATGTTTCCTGCATCCTCACCACAAAAAAGGGAACAGTTTGTAAAGAAACATCGAAACAAGCCTTATGTATTTTTGTTAAGTTCTGGGGACTAATGAAGTAAAATAGAACTTTTGGGCTGGAAAGGTGCACGATGACAAGAACGTATTCTCAAATGATAAGAGTGGTCCTGATGTGTTTCCTTGTTACTAATACATTCTGTGTTGCTTGCCCAATTTCATAAACTGTCTGTTCATCATCACCTGCTCTTTACCTCATACCAGGTTACGTTATACCCAGTCATGTGACGGAGGAGATGCTGTGGGAATGTAAACAGCTGGGAGCTCATTCACCTTCAACACTGCTCACAACTCTCATGTTCTTCAATACAAAGTGAGTTTCACTGTGCTTTCTCATGCGCCAGTTTCTTCTGTCATCACACGAGAATTACATTTCTATAACATCTTTGTCTGTTCAGCCAGCACCATAACACTATTCCATGTTCATGCAGACATGCACAGACTTGGCACCAGGTCATTTCCAACTCACATATCTGCAAAATAGTCTAAAAAAGGCATCGCTATAATTATTCTGTATCAACACTCTGTCACCATATATCACTGACTTGACACTCTGTATTCTTCACAGGTATTTTCACCTAAAAACAGTGGATCAGCATCTAAAAGTGGCCTTTTCTAAGGTGCTCAGACACACCAGAAAAAGTCCCAACAACCCCAAAGACAAGAGCACCAGCATCCGGTACCTCAAGTCAACAGAGAGGTTCATAGGACAGAAAGGTAACAACATGCATGGATTGGATTTGTGTTGGGCTGTCTGAGAGAGAAACCACAAATTTAAAGATTATTAATCATTTTCATACTGAATTCTTTTTTTTTTTGTTCAGTGACCGATGACATGTACTCAGAGCAGCTGGAGGACCCAGATAACCCACTGCGATGCCCCATCAAACTCTACGATTTCTACCTCTTCAAATGGTAAATATCAAACAGGATTTAACGATTGTCAAAAAGATTTCAGTGAAAGGAAAATGTGTTTTTATTAGGTACAAGCAATCTTTATGTCATAAAAGCATTAATTCAACTGAAATAGAATCAACTATTGGTAAGAAAAAAGAACAGGTAAAATATCTCTTGCTACCATGTAGTCACTCTACCTAGCTGCTGCTACCTTTAAATGAAATCATTTTATATTGACATGCAAGGTATGGAGTACGTGTGCAGTTGATATTCAAGCACCTACATTTGTGAAAGCACTGTTGCTAGGCAACTGACACAACATGGTTGCATTATAATATTTTTCTTCTTCTCTGCTCAAAAACCTTGAGTGTTTTTTTGTGTGTGTTAACATTATGTGAAGGAATAAAGGCAAATAACTCTTCTGGCCGTAGCTGCCTTGAAAAATATGCAGCATCTTTCACAACTGGTGAATATGGAGAACAGTTCTACTGGAGGAGGGAAAAGGGAAAAACCGATTGTGTTGTTCATGTGAAGTCAGTAATAAAATAATAATAATAAAAAAGATTTATTTAAACACAATGCATGTGATTTTAGTTTTGGTTTCAAAACTCATCATTTTCATTTTTTGATGACACATTCTAAAGCTGTAGATTTAATGATATGCCTATTACTGAAGTCATAATTAAAAGTGGTGTTGTGCTAGAATTGAATATACTGATTATACAGTCCAGGATCATACCAACACTGTGACATCCCTGCTAAAACATGTAGTTCAATCCCTACCTCGATGACCATGTCAACAAACCAGTGTATTTTGATATGATACTGGAATGATTAACAACACTGCAGAGTTAGAGTTCTAAATACTCAAGTTTTCCACTGACTCTTATCTGCTGTCTCTGGCATTCAACAGACATAAGATGTTTTATATAAAAGAACACTTCCTACTTCATTTCCCTCAGAAAGTATAAATATATTTTTTGCAGGCAGAGATGTGCTGAAATTGTAACCTGATCTTCTAATTAACTAGCACATCCTTAAAGTGTCCTCACATTGTGTTCTATCTGCCGTCCTGTCAGTCCACAGAGTGCTAAAGGTCGCAACGACACCTTCTACCTGACTCCCGAGCCTGTGGTGGCTCCCAACAGCCCCATCTGGTATTCCACCCAGCCAATCTCAAAAGAACAGCTGGAGCAGATGCTCACCCGCATCCTCGTCATCCGCGATATCCAGGAAGCCATCAACATGTCAGAAGGCATGCACTAGTGTGACTGGAGGAGAACTGTAAACAGACTTGACTCTTTCTCTTCACCCAGCCTTTGATTGCTAATTATCATTAGTTTTCTATTCTCTCACACCCTCTTGTGGTCTGTAAGGGTGGCATGTAATTGTTTATATACATTCAGTGTCAGCATATATAAAACACGGACTGTACATACACATACCAACATTATAGAAAATAATTTGTCTTACTGAGGCAATCTCTCACTTTTTTTTTTCCTTTGTTTTGGCCAAAGGATGTGGCGTCTAATCATGTTATTGGACCTGAACTCTAATTTAAATGTTATTTTAACTGTTGGCTCTACTCACCAGTCTGGAACAACTCTTCATTCATTTCCGTTCACTCCTTTTCTTTTAATCTCCTATGATCATCAAATATATTTTCACTGGGGTTGGCTGGCAATACTCTCCTTTTCTTAGACATCCCTCTTTGTTTGCTTCTTTCCCTCGTCTGCCTTGTTCGGCGTTAAGTGTCACAGTGGATACCTCAGTGGTATTGAGACTTTATTAGCCAAACAGGCTAAAATCTCATTTGTGTGAACTTTCTTTGTACTTCACTCGTCTGTCTTGAGCTGAGGTCACACGCAGACGCACAAAGCGGCAGCACTGAATCTCATCGGGACTTCACTATTACGGACTCTTAACTACAACACAGTATCATGAACTGGACCTGCAGCTACTAGCACTTGCCACATGGTGGAGATGTGGCAGAGGGAGGGTTAAGGATGTTGACGGCTGCTGGATCCTCCTCAGTACATCACCAACCCCAGAACTCAACCTGGAGAGTGATTCTATTGTATCATACATGGTTATTACATAATGAAAGACTCTTAATAAGCGGGATAGCCCTTAGTGTTCTATAATGTATTATACTCATAGCTCCTTCATGTACTGTAAAGGGTTTCAGTCATCTAAGGAGAATGGCAGTGCCTGTGTGTTTTTGAAACATGACCTTTTTGTACAGCCACGATACCATGTGTCTGCCTTTCTAGCAAGTACAGTATAAATTCTGCACATGCATCCTTACATACAAACCGCATCGTGTGAAATATATAAAGATGCACAATGATTTTTCTCAATAAAAGTCATCACTTTATCAGCAATGGAGGTGAAAGTACAAAATTACATGCACACAAGACATTTTGAATTTAACAAACAAGTTTTTGTTTAAATTGACCCCTGTGCTCTGGTGCACCATAGTGTTCACAGATAACATTCTCATATTGTTCCCACAAAATTCACAGCATAGTAACAAGTTGGACCTGAATGGCAGGTGATAATTTGATTTTCCCTTGTGCTACGCGTTCAAACAGCTGTGCATGTGGTTTCTTCACCAGCATTTATCTGCATGTCGTCAGACCAGTTTTCTGCCTGCAGGGCCTGTCCTCATCGAGCAATCAGCATTATTTCTCTGTCTTCGTGCCTCAGGTACTGCATGAAGTCATTTTGTTCTTTTTGTGTCTTTGTACCTTAAGCTTAACAGTATGTGAGTTCAGGAGGCGTGTGAGCCTGGGTTTAACAGGGATGAGGAGGGCAGCAGTCTCCTCAGCAGGTTCCCAGGGTGTAACATCTGCTGTATTGTGTTCTGCTGCGGCTCTGACGGAGGTGTCTGTCTGTGGCGGTGTTGTCGTCTCCTCCCTGTTCGCTCTCCCCGTCCTGAGCTGTGAGGCTGATCCTGAACAGGGTGGCTGATTTTCGAACCGGCTCCCTGAATCTGTGGGCTGCTCGGAAAGAGAAGAAGCCCAATTAAAATGTCATCATACGTTACAGTGACTAATAACATGCTGCCTATGCTGAAAGTGAATGTGGTGTGTGTCGGTGCAGGCTGGGAGCTTATTTCTGTTCTCTCACCCTGCTGTGGTTCTCCCTGCTCCTCCACTGAGCCACTGCAGCAGACACTGATGCACAAACATGTACTGCTCCTGATAACACACAAAGAATGAGCAGGTAATGTGGAGCGCACGATGTTAATGAGCATGATGATATTCATGAGAGTCATAGAGAGCAATTTGATGCATATGAGAGAGTGAATTACTAGTGTGCATTTAAATATACTGATTACTGCAATCCAACAGACTATGTCTCATTGAACAGAATATTACATATATTTGGCTTTTTTAAATAAGCTGTAAAAAGTCATTCTTGAGTATGCCACTTTTTTTAAATGTAATACTGTATATTTTCAGAGTTAAGTTTAACATCAACTCTACTACATGCTGTATGGAGGTAGTTTTTCATTATATGTAGTTACCCCTCAAATTAACAGCTTTATTTCACGGTGAACAAGTTTAATTCTTTGATTTCGTTTGACATGTTGGGAGTTTATTTGGTTTCTTGCCAAAGCTCTATAAGGAGATTGATAGCATTCTTGTGGGTCCATTAAATATGAAGCTGCAACTACCAGCTCAGCATAAAGATTGGATCCAATTTACCAGCTTCCAGTCTTGATGCTAAGATAATTAATCCTCATGTAAATCTGCAAGAAAGCATCTAATAGATAAATGAGCTCCAACAGCTACATCAGTGAGATTCTGCTCACATGTTACTTACGTAAGAAATAATTTAAAAATATATTTGAGTCACATAATGATAGAACTGTAACATGAGACATTTTTCCTGCAAATTATTGACACAAACTCCAAGTATGTCAACATAAGAGCTTTTACATCTGTAGAAGATCTGAATATCATTTCACTAAGTCAACATGAAATACTCAAGTATCATCACTTCATCAACATGTTGTCACATTTCACTGATCTCAGATGTTCAGGTGAGCGTTAGTGGAAAAATAATTGTACATTAACGCAAGTGAATTACTTAAGTTTGTATACATACTGTAGTTACACATTACACAGTATATTTTCCTGTTGTGGTTGTGTAGTACCATTGTCCTGGCTACTTTCACTCCAGTAAAATATCTCAATACTCCTTCTACTGAAGGTGAGTGTCATGACTGTACAAACCAGATTCTGGACCATCCACATCCGATGTAGCCGCAGATCTTCCACAGCTGCGTGGATGTCAGGCTGGATGCCCCGAGCGCACAACTGCATCAACCACAACAGTGTCACAAACGTCCCTGAGCGCCCAACACCTGCACTGAGACACATGGTGACAGCATTGGCTTTAAACACAGTGTCGTGCACCATCTGATTGAGTCTACTGGGTTATTAGAAGTGAGCAATGGATGAGTAAAAGTAGTGGGTGATGCATTTGAAATCAGAGGTCAGACCTGCAGTGCACCACAGACGGCCCCAGGCGAGGAATGCCTTCCAAGTGCTGCCGCACATGGTCAGTGAAGGCACAGAGAGAGGATGAGTCTTTAGGGATGCCCCGGTCCGGCCAGGAATGGTAGTAGTAGTGTGTGATTATCCTGTCTGTCGGACAGTCTCTCTGAAACACCAACACTTTCCTTAAATCCAACCACAAGGACGTATTTCTCTCTGTGATTGATCACTCGTACGGTCAGAGCACAGCAGCAGTTTAAAGGCACCAGAGAGGATGATGGATGGATCTTTCTCTCACCTGTCTGAGGTTAATGGTGGTGATAAAATAATCTGGCCCTTGTTTGCAGTTCAGTGTTGTCACCTGGATCAGCCCGTGATAAACTGTGCCTTGCTCCAGAGGCCAGTACTTATCACACAGCACCTGGACACAGAAATATTGGACAACATTCTTTTTAAGACACTGTAAGAAATTTCACAATATCTTTTATGTTATAGGTATTTTTTTAATTTATTGAGATACCTGAACTACACACACACACACACACACACACACACACAAACACACACACACTGAGAATGCCGTTCTTACTATGTCCTTGTGTCTCAGAGCTGTCACCATGACGATTATCCTGACGTTTTGCTCCCACACCATCCTCCAGAAGTCGGCCATGGTGTTGTGCAAAGGACCCTGGGTGCAGATGAAGTCTCTCTCTGATCCTCCACCCTGAATACACACACACAAACACACACACACAGAGTCAAGCACACAGTTGTACAGCAGCCAGGCTAAGTTGAGAAAATAATCAATTCAGTGGAGGAAGTGAACAAGTTCTCACAGGCACAAAATTTGCATTGATGTAGTCCGTGTGTGGAACGGAGTTCTGAATGGACAGCCTCACACGACAGTGGTCATCTGCATTAGTCAGAAAATGAAAAGCAAATGAAAGTCTCACACATCATCACTGCACACACAGCATGCTGTTCCCCGCTCTAGAGGAAGACGCCTGGCTCTTACATGGTAGAATGTAGGGGTATCTGTTCTTCTCTCTGTTGACCTCTGATTCCCCCGCTCTGGTGGAAAGGTCTCTGCCAACATCATTCAGCTCCTTCACAGAACCAAAGATGTCAGCACTCATGACGTGTCTCCCTTCATAAATCACAAATCTAATATAAGTCAAATTTCTGAACTCGTTACCTCAAAGTCCTTTTTAAAGCCTCTGTTGTCGTTGGCAGCCAGAGCCTGGCAGCGGAAACGAAGCTCCTGTAGAATCTGCCCCCTCGAGAAAGTTTGCACCCTGTAAAACAGAAATGTGTTGCATTCAATTGTTTTAGGAGCAGGGAAGCACAGTTTGTATAACTCTGGTGATGTTCTTTACAAGCAAACTAATGAAAAGACCTAAACCATAATGAACTGATTGTATTCATTGTGTAACTTTATTCAGGTTGTTCCTCTGTTTTTCTGCTGTTGATCCAAAAAGTGATTGTTTGACACTGAACATGGTCCCTCTGGTTTATCTTGAGTCAAACCCATATAAACCATACCGAAACACACCACACCACATCATGCCAAACCATATCATATCATACCATACTCTGCCACACATCTATAAAAATATAAATAATCATCTTCAGTCATCTCCTTCTTGATGCTACAAGGAATTCTGTCATCCTCACCTCATGTCTTCTCCTGTCGACCTCGTGCTTCAAACTGAGATTCAGCAGGAACTCAAGAGGGAGAATGATGCCAGGGGGATATCAGTGTTCATGCTGAACAAAAAGATACCATCTTCTGTTTCATAAGAAAAGTTTGTCGATCAAAATCAGTCATGAAGAAAATATGAATCAATAAGCTGAGAACATCTGTGTTGGCCTCTTGTTTCCCCTCCCCCTGGAATTTGTCCTCCTCAACACTGGCACTTGGCAGCAGAAAATAATCTAGAAACACAACGGAAACACACCTGGAATGAAGTTAGGTGCCGGCACAAATTGTTTTTGCTTTGTTCTTTCCACGAAAGAATTCAGCAGTTTTACTGTGTCATTCCAAGGAAAGTGTAGTTTCAGCCTGACTGTACCTCTCCTCATTATAAGAGGAAGGCCCACAGAGTAAGCATGGCCCAGCATTAACACACAACAATTACTGACACTGACCCGACAAGAAGGAAAACCTGTTCCGGCAAGTTCTCAACTCCAAACACAAATAGCAGACGGAAGAGCAGACAATCCCAACAGCTTCAGTATCATGTTTTTGTTTCAGGATTACCTTCACAAACCGACCTCTGATGAATGGTTTAAATCACAGACTGAAGAGAAAAACTAAGGGACTGAACTACTCCAAGGCATCTTAGGTTGTCTGGTTTTAATATTCTCTCTCTCTCTCTCTTTCTCTCTCTCTCTCCCCCTCCCTCTCTCTGTGCAAGAAGAAGTGTGATGGGTGGAGAAAAAATGGGTGGAGACGGAAACACTAAACCCCAGCATGCAGTTGCCTCAGCTATTCTTTGTACTCACCAAATCATTACCAGCACCAGAAAAACAAAAATGTTTTTACGCTCTTGCATCTTCTCAGTCCAGATGTTAGTTTTCTGTTGTAGTATTTAGGTCACACCTCGTATATTTATATACATACATTTGTATACTGCTCAGGAGGAATACACACTGGAAAGTACAATTCAAATATAAATATATGGCTCCCACAATAATCATTTCAAAACAGTTTAATTCACAGGAGACTGAAGGTGTGAGGTTCTCTTGTGAAAGAGTTTCATTTAGGACACAAAGTCTAATTCAATCATTGGTTAAAGCATATAGATAAATATATACACAATTCTACTGGACATATTATAACCAGGTTTATATTGTCTGTGTCTGAAAACACACATTAACAACTACATAACAACAACAACAACAACAACAATAACAACAACAACAATAACAACAACAACAACAACAATAATAACAGTCGTAATAACTATCTAAGAATACAACGTATGGAAGTCACTATATATACTCAGTGTATATAATAAGGTATAATAAAGTTGTCTCTGTACAGTTTGTCAATCAGCTCCTCTGAAAAAAGTTGAAGAGCGCCACCGTCTGGCGGAGCAAAGATGTGGACAGGTATGACAACAATGTTACTGCGCATGCGCGTCCTCAAGAGACGAACCCGTACGTGTTGTTCCGTCGCGTCTGAGTCAGACTGACGCTGATTGGCTGACTGCAGAAGAGGAAGTGAAAGCTTGTTGCGCTGCTTCTCTGAGTTCTCTTCTCCTGAGGCTTTAAAGTGCGAGGAGAAGTTCTTCCCTCCAGACTGAAGACTCAGAGTTTGACTTTAGAGATGAACCGACGATAACAGCTCGTTCACTTCCGGGTGTGTTGGAGCACTTGTTGGTTTTCTTCACAAGCAAACAGCAAACAGGAAGCGATGGATCATGCACGAGCACAGGACGCGCATCAGAGCAAGGTAACAATTCACGAGCTGAGAGAGAGAGAGAGAGAGAGAGAGACAACAGCCTTAGAGTGTATATAAAAACTTATCAACAACCTTAGAGCGTATATAAAAACTCACCAACAACCTTAGAGTGTATATAAAAACTCATCAACAACCATAGAGTGTATTTAAAAACTTATCAACAACCTTAGAGTGTATATAAAAACTTATCAACAGCCATAGAGTGTATATAAACAAACTTACCAACAACCTTAGAGTGTATATAAAAACTCATCAACAACCATAGAGCGTATATAAAAACTTATCAACAACCTTAGAGCGTATATAAAAACTCACCAACAACCTTAGAGTGTATATAAAAACTCATCAACAACCATAGAGCGTATATAAGAACTTACCAACAACCATAGAGCGTATATAAAAACTCACCAACAACCATAGAGCGTATATAAGAACTTACCAACAACCATAGAGCGTATATAAGAACTAACCAACAACCATAGAGCGTATATAAAAACTTATCAACAGCCATAGTGTGTATATATACAAACTTACCAACAACCATAGAGCGTATATAAAAACTTACCAACAACCATAGAGCGTATATAAGAACTTGCCAACAACCATAGAGCACCAACAACAGTGTAGAATATAGGAAGCACTATAATACAATAAAAAGAGCTTTGTCTTTTTACAAACTTCACAACAGCCAGTGAGGAGGTACAACACTTGATCTACCTCAGACATGTGTACAGTGTTTTGCTGTTTAAGTGTAAAGCCTCCACGCACGAGCAAAAATCTATATCCACTGAAATACAACATTTTTGTCTCAAAAAAATTCTTGAGTACTTTAACTGCACACACACACATAGCATTAAAATATTAGTTGGTTGCTGCTGCAATTGTTTTGTTCGAGACACTGAGTTTTGATGATACATTTATTTCACTGCAGTTTCACACACAAGAGGCAGCATAATGAAATGTGTGGTCAGCTATTTTTAGAAATATGTAACACTCTGGTTTTCTATAGGGAGTGTGTGGCGCAGGAATGCATTACTCTCCTGCTACAGGGCATCGATGTACAGAGTACGTACACCGATGCATCTGAAGCAAGTCTTCACCTCTGTGGAACTAGAAGTGTTTGACATTGAATTATTTTTTAAAAATGACCAAATTGATGAAGCAAATATAAAAATAGTAGACAACTATTCTTTGTCTTGGATTATTTCCTCATTCCACTTATTATTTCTGCTCCAATAACATCATAACCTACCTGTAGTGTAACACTTTATTGACTGTGCTTCCTCCAGGCCTCCATGTTGTGGCACAGGGACTGTAGTGATGATTCTGATGACATGAAGCACACTCACAACTCTCTGTCTTCCTCTCAGGTATGTCCATGTTCTTACATCTTACATCTCAAAATAACCTTTTTTTTTAGACTGTACCATCGTTCTGCTCTTTGTAAAATACCACAGTGTTTCTAATAGTTTTACCTCTGTGGATTCAGGACGAGACGAGGCCGATCAGAAGAGTACAGAGTCCCACCAGACCCGGGGCCTGGTCGTCCAATCCTTACAAACCAAAGTTCAGAGGGAAATTCTACAAACCTCGGTGCGACTGGCAGACAGAACATAACGAAATGAATCATGATAACAGCAAGGTTTATCTGCTATGAAAGTTTTTTCTGAATGCAGTTTTGCGAGGGATGACCACTCGTTCCACAAACCTGGCTTCGTAAACAAGAGGCAGCGCCACCTCAGCCAACGGGTCTACCCCGACCAGAGAGATCACTTCCAGCCCAAACCTCACCACAGCGCTCAGAGGGAGCGAGAGAAGGAACGGTACGGGTGGAGATCGAGCGCTGAAGGAAGTTCATGCCCAAAACAAAGCAACGGTAAGTCTGTGTCTGCAGGAAAAGTTAAAACAACACACACACTTCAGCTCAATTAAACATTTATATAGAGAACATTTACACAATATTTCCAAAAGTTCTTTTTGTCTGTGGCAGACTATGCTCCTTAGCTGCATTTAGTAACAGCGATATTTCAAACAGTGTGATTCCAACATTTAGAGGAAGAATCTCACCTGTTTCAGTTTCACCTCTGAGCACTGAAATAAGGCGCAGTGCTTATTCTCAATAAACCTACTTTCAGAATGATATAAGTGATCAGTGATATAGACGATAAAAGTTGACGGCCTGGATCTGAGGGATCCAGAGGTGGATGAGGTGTGTCTGTCTGTTTTATTTATTTTTTATCTTTCCTTTTTTTCCTTTCTTTTATTATTTGCATATTGAATAGATTTAGTTTCCATCTATCTTTTTGTTATATGTTCCTATTCTTTCAACTAAAAACACAATAAGAGAAGTACATGTACACTTTAATACATGGACACTATAACACATTAAAATATCATTTTTATTACTGTGTCTTGCTGCTGCATCTGGACCATCCCTTCTTGGGATTAAAATGCTTCCCTAATTCACAAGCACATTCATCTTCTTCTGGTACAACACATACAAAACGTGGAAAAAGAGGAACAATTTTAACAAAAAGGTTTTATCACAAACAGAATTATTAAATCTATAAATTGAGTCGATAAAGACCATTTTCCCCTGTCCTCCCAGGCTGTCTCCAGATAACTGGCTAATTCATATGTTTCATATTTAATCAGCCACGACAAGTTTTTGCACATCACCCATATTTACAGTAATCAGCATCTTTTTAATTTGACAAAATACAGCATTGTGCAGTTCACAAAAGAAATTTAATGAAACATTCTACTTACAAATTCACTTTTCTTCTTCTATTCACAAACATTCTGAGGAGCTCCTACAAATATCAAACATTCACAAATGATCAATTTTACTGTGTCCACTTCATATATTAACATTTTATACATGCATGTCCAGAGTATTTACATACTCTACAAGCTTGACAGTATTTACTTGCACTTTGATAATTGGCCATCGGGTGACAGTATAAACAAGCAGAGGCAGCATTTTGCATTGCAAATGTTTGGAGGGCTTTTGCTGGTTGTGTTATGTGCTGGTTATAGTCACAGTGTGGTAGCAACAAACCAGTGTTACATAAGGCCCATCACTGAGCAGCTTTTCCTGGACTCACTACACGGATTATGTCACAGGTGGAGCTGATAGCGGTCAACCCACTGACAGTGAACGCCTCAGGTTATCTCATGTAAACGGTCGCAGGTGGATTTGTTGTACACCTGAAAATGACCTCATCAGGGAACAGGAGGGGTTCAGACCCGATTACCTTTCCTCGGTTTTTACACTGATCACGAAATCAGTGTTTCAGATTTTTGCTGATGTGTTTTTCTGGTTTGTTGTGTGGTTTTAACAACTGAGCTGCAGCGACTGTGTGTGTGTGTGTGTGTGTGTGTGTGTGTGTGTGTGTGTGTGTGTGTGTGTGTGTTTTCCTCTTGCATCCAGGCGCTGTATCCGTGCGCACACTGCAGCACTGTGGAGGTGTGTGTTTGTGTATGTGTGAGAGTGGAACAGGTTTTTTTTGTGTGTGCCTGAGTGATGGTGCGATGATGGTGACTCATCGCTGATTTGTGTGTATATGAGAGTGAGAAAGAGAAAGAGGGAGAGAGAGAGCAATATATAATGAGCCGTGACAAAGATATTGCTTCACATAAGAATACTGCAGTCCAATGTTGCAATGCAAATTTTATGAACCATCAGCAGGTTCTGCTTTAATTTATATTGATTTTAAAACGTAAACTGAACATTAAGATGGACGACACGACTCCACTTCCTCCCACCTTCTTAAAATGAAGCTGAAATATTTCAGATACAAATGCTGCCAATGTTGCACATTTGGTGCCAGCGTCTGCGCAGTATGATCGGGGATGGAGCTGTTGCAGCGAGGTCCCGTCTAAAAATGCGTTTTTATAGCATCAAATAACTTATGTATAACTTGAATGAAAAATTAAAACTTGACCAAAGACGAGTGTGATCAGAACAACATCAATGAAAGAAATCAACTTTGAGAAAACATTTTTTAATATGATTTAATATCGATTCTCTCGTGATGTGATTTTATAGGACGAGACATGAGCTCGACCAATAACGAGTCCGTCTTATCTGTCAATCGTGAGGTTTCCTGTTGTTTTTATAGCATCAAATCATTTAAACCGTATACAGAAAATTAACCTTCTAACATACATCCCCAGATATAAACTTTGAACTTGTGCTTTGAGTTTTTAGCTTGGGCCATGTCCCATTCACTAACATAGAGGATACATGGTTTGTAACCTATACTGCAGCTAACCACCAGGTGGCGATCAACAACCCTCTGTTTTAAACCCTGATTCGTTTGCTTCTACAGAGAAAGAGAGGATGATTAGGAGGCTGTAAACATGATAAAATATAACCTATTGGTGCTGCAGATTATAGGTGTGGTAAACAGAAATAAGAAAACCCCATTACCACGTATCAGTCTTTATTTTTTCGATTGTACACACACACACACACACACACACACACACACACACACACACACACACACACACAAACACACACACAGACTCTGTTGTGTCTCTCTCTCTCTCTTGTTGTGCTGTTGTGTTGACCTTCTGGTTTGTCTGTTTTCCAGCTTCCAGACTGTTCCTGCCCAGGTCCACCTCCAGCAGAGACAAGGACACGCAGTTCGCTGTAAGTTTGTCAACAGAAAATCGACTCTGCTTTTTCATTTAGTTAAAAACTGTGGATAAATAGCTTGGTCCCTCTGTTCCTTGAAAGGACTCATCCCATGTTTCTTTCTTAGCTATCAAAGTGATGTAGGGCAGCACAGTCTCAATTCTCCAGTGATTTTTTTTTTTGACAGTTTCCTGATGAAATGTTTTGAAATGGAAAACATTTGAAGACATCAGGGATTGGAATGAAAAGCCAGTTTCTGTGAGAATTAGAGAGAATGAATTAAACTGACTAATCCTGGCTGCTCCATCAAAACAATCATTCAGCAAGGTTTTTGAAATATATTGTTTCAGTTCATTTTTCAAGCCCTAATGCCAAACATTTGATGGTTCCAGGTTTTCAAATGTAAGGTTTCACTGATCCATTTATAGTTAATTTATTTATTCCATAGACATTCTACAGTTGAGAAAAGATACTGAAATATTCAGTTTGACATAATTTCGGACTCCATCAGATACAGAGAGTTCTGAGGCTCTTATTCATTTCTGTTTCAGAGAAAGTGGGAAAAACTGCTAACGTGAACTGCGAATCTTCAGTGTGAGATTCGTAAAACAAAATACAGAACAAGCTGGAACAAGAGGATGATTGGTGCTTGAAAAATGATTCAATCAATAATACAAATTGTTCCTCGTTATTGTCTTTGTTAATCAACTAAACAATGAACCCAGTAATTAATCTATGACGTACTAGATGTTTCTGAGTTAAGAGTAAAGACTGATTTAACTGTAGAAAAGGCTGAAATCAAAAGCTCACGTACGTTGTTTGGCCGACCTGAACGCCGCGAGGAGCAGAGCAGCAAATGATGAATCACAGCTGGTCAGTGCTGGAGTGAAGACACGAAGAGAAATTTAAAGTTTGGTCGAGTGTTTTCCCACAGTCGATATTTGCGACAGCTTCGTTGTTGTTAGTGTGAGCTGCCCACAGGTACACGTCTGTGATTAATGGCTCTTTCATTACAACCTTTTTTTATTTTGCTGTGTTAGTTGTTCATGTTTACTGATGCTGTTTTTTTTCACCTCAGTAACTTTGCCAACTCAACCCTAAAACTGATCAATATTTTTCATTATAATCAGTTAAAAAAATATATAACTTCTTCAGTTTGATTTATATCTAGATTTAACTACTGCCAGTTTTAACAAGTCTGTGCAACTAACTTTTTAACTCTATAAATCTCCTCAAAATGCCACTTTGTTATAAGTGGGTTGCCAGGTTGTAAAACATATAGTGGATTTTCTTTAGCTAGCTCTTCATGTGTGGAAATATTGCGATGTCACTGTCGCTGGGTGTGTCAACACTGCAAAGCTAGGTCATAGGTCACTCTTTATCAAATATTGTGTAAAAAAGCAACCTGCAATTTCACCCATAGTTCATGTGCTGTTGTGCTTAGTTGCACTTGTGTAACCCTGGAGCCCAGGGACTGAGAGAAGTGGAACAACAACGATCTTCTCCTCCACAGACATGTCTGTAAAACAGGGTTATATGTTTTTGGCAAAACTGCAAATTCTGCTCTCATATGTATCTTCACCACCCTTATGTCTGTCTACCATGTGGTGCTGAGCAGGTAGTGTATAGAGAAGTGTTTTTTGCTAGAAACAGCTGTCACTCGTCTGGAAACTGATGTGAGCAGTGAAACGGCTAAAAAGAGACTCAGTAGACCAAGCTGCACCAAATAACACTCACAGATATCAGAGTGTGTCTGGTTTTGTCATCATGATCCATTAAATATTCTTTGGGAAATGTTAAAGAGAGTGGTAAAAATATCTGGATTCTGCCCTGACACATAGCACAGACGGGTTAAAAAAGAACCTCAACAGAGGAAACAGAACAATGTCCAAGTTAAACCAAGACAAAGAGCTCAAAGACACAAAAATGCTCTGCAGAGCTGAGTGAAAATGATCTGTGGTTTCCTCACTTTGAGCGACGCCATTAACTTCATTTATGCACGCCATAGTTGTTGAAATACTGAGTTGTGTATTGTTCATTAGCCGGTTGATCATAGCTTTTCACAGCCTGAAGATGTTGTTCCCACTATTGGTTTATTACTAAACTCTTAATCATTAAAACATGATTTGTTACCATTAATAAAGGCAGCATCTGTGATTTATTAAAACCGTTGTGAACTGCTTCTTATTGGGAAGTGGTGCCAGTATTTCTCTCTGTACTTATCGTCCTTGTGCTGCCTCTTTGTTGTACATTTAGTTTGCCACTGAATACATATGCAGCCAGAACAAACTCTGAATTTTTAATGCACCAGCCTCAGTGTAAGAAGTCGACATGTGGATCTTCACTTGAGTCATCTTCTGGTAGATAGCAGCTCAGTCATCGTCAGTGTTTGCACCCATTTTTTTAGCCAACTGTCTCATTCCCACTGTCCAACTCCTGCCTCATTTTTTTTCCTTTTTTCTTCTCAGGTTTGTCAGAAGAACAGGAACCACAGCAGGGAGAGAGATCACAAGGGAACCAAGAGCAAAGAAAAGGAACAAAGCCGAGACCGGGAGCTTCCTTTAACTGTGAACCAGACGACGACACGAGACAGAGCCATCCAGCAGAAGAGGAGAGAGATAGATGAGGTGGGAGGGTTTCATTACACAAACACACACACACACACACACACACACACACACACACACACACACACACACACACACACACACCTAGGGAGAGGGGATAGTTATAAACAGATAGAGGAAGAGAAGTGATAAGAGAAGCTGGGATTAGAGAATGGGCGTCAGAATAAAGATCTTAGAAAGTGCTGGGAGACAGGAAAATAAAGTCAACATCCATTTTGAAACGCTGAGCCTCAGGCATCTTGACTGTCATTGTTATCCTCACTTTGGCGAGCCTGACAAAGTGGGTCTTATTCATTGTGCGACATGATTGATGGGTTTATGCTTTTATTTTTTGTGACTGAGCAGAAAGTTAAAGTGAGGCTGTTTATCTCAGCTCACCTTCACCACAAGAGGCACACGTGCTTTAATGCTGCCTTCAATGTGACATCACGTGAGGCCCCGCTCATCGGCAGTGTGTTTGTGTGAGATTGTGAGTGTGTGTGTTTCCACCCACTTGATGGAAAAGATGCCCTCTTGCTTTTCATGTCTCCATGGTTGCAGGATTATAGATTGCACTGCAGGAAAGGGCATTCTGGCAACAGGTAGCCGATGTTAAACATAAAACTCCGCTGCAGATTGTTAATGCAGTTAGTTGTGAATGGAAACACATCGATTATCTCATGTGACCTTCTCTCCTTTTACAACTCCAACGCTCCCACTTTTCTGCTTCTCACCACGCCTTGTTCCTTATCCTAAAACCGTGGACGTGTGTCCTACAGGTGTATTATCAGGAGTGTGAGATGTTTGGCCTCGTGACAAAGATGCTCATAAAAAAGGAACCGTCCCTGGAACTTCTCATCCAGTCCTCGCTGCAGGAGAACCTGCGAGACATTGGCAAGCGCTGCGTGGAAGCCATGGAGAAATTCATCGAGGACTACGACTCCAGAGAGCCGTTGCACTAATCGCACACATGCTGCCGCCTGTCGTGTCAGCGTAGATCCTCATGGTAGAAATGTTGGAAATTTTTATATCGGGTGGTTCAGTACTTCTTTTTGGATTTCATTTGCAATAAGTTCGCTCATTATTTTCTGCTGCCTGGAAACAGTCTCACTCTGAGCTCTGTCAGCAACACTGGAGAAGAATGAAGAGGAAATGTTTTTGATTGAAGCATTTCATGCTGATTCTAATGTTGAAAATGTGACTATGAAAAATGCACTAGCGCTTTTTTGCTTTAAATCTCCTAATGAAGAAGTATTTTGACATTCCAAGTGACGTGCTTAATTTATTCTCTTTCTTTTCATTCATTCAAATGAGAACAAAGCATATTAAACAACAAATGGCTAAAAATATCTTCAATGTTTCATTTGTTGCCATAAAGGTAAGAAACAAATCAGGTCATATCATGAAATACATTAATAGGTCAGTAGGTAACTGGGCCATACATTGTTATGTGGGGTTGATGTATTTTTAAAATGAGGGAAAGTGCAGGTTTCTTTTTACGTTTGATTGCATGACATATTTTGACTTGTAGAAATATCAATAACACAGTAAATGTCAGCTGATGGAAAAAAAAACAAGAAATGGCTGTGGAGAAATTTCAAAGATGTTCCTGCTCTTATCCAGGTCACGGTTCTTAAAGGGGATGATTTCTGCTCTTTGTTCAGGTTTAAAAAAATAAACCCTGAAATAAACCGTCGTATTGGGATTGAAAAGCACAAATCTACAACAGAAAGGCTGCACTACTCAAACTGGATGTGTGGAGAGAAAAAGAGTACAAGGCACAGAGGCTCTAATGGAAGATTCTCCTGCTGCTTTATAGGAATTTTAGGAACTCGTTTTTGGAACTTTATTATGTGAGAAACGTAAAACTGGAATGTCTCTGCTTTTGCTGCTCAAATTCTGACTTTTTATTCTAAGGCCATCTTTATGGAAGTAACACGTTCAACTACAGGTGTGGCCCTTTAAATTAACACACTGAGTGAATCCTAATGAAAAGATTTTTTGGTTGATTTAAGACTGTGAACGTCATTGACAGATTTTACTCTGATGTTATCGCTGGTCCAATAAAGAATTAAGATTTGTGTTTGCTCTTTATCCAACACTAGGGGGGAGTTAACTGCTGAGATGACATTCGCCACAGCATAGATTGTAAAACTGTTTTTGGAATTAAAAAATCAACAACTACAACAAATGGCATGAACCAAAATGCAACTTAACAAAGAGAAAGAAGGATGGTTAACATAGATTTAGTTGTGACAGGCTCATCCTCTTAATGGAGTCATTTTCATGTTTTTCCAGAGATGCTTGATTAAGTGAAGGCTCTGGGCGACATGAGGACATTTACAGAAGCCCCTCCTGCAGTCAGCTGTGGGCTTAGTGTTATTATCCGGTTCAGTCCCTCTGTACCCGTCGCTGAGGAACACCCCCACAGCCCGATGCTTCGCTGTTGGGATGTTACTTGTCAGGTGATGAGTGGTGTCTGGTTCCTACCAGACGTGACACTGAGAGTTGACGCATCAGAGGAATCATGTTTCTCACAGTCTGAGAGTCCTTTAGGTTATTTGTGAACTACCAGCAGGCTGTCACATGTTTTTCACTGAGAAAGACTCATAGTTTGTTCTGGTCACTCATACGACCGATCAGTGCAGTGCTCCAGTGATTACTGTTTTCTAGTAGTTTCTCCCTTCTCCTCTGATTGCTTAGTTTGGCTCTAAGTTCAATCAATCAATCAAATTTTATTTGGGTAACCCATATTCCAAATCACTATTTGTCTCATAGGGCTTAACAAAGTGCAACATCCTTTTCCCTTAACGCTCAACAATAAGAAAAAATGACCAAAAAAAGAATCCTGGAGGCCACCATGGTTCTAGGGAAACATTTATAGTAGCCTCAGTTCAAACCTCCTGCCTTGGTCTTTGTTGTGTCGGCTGTGAGGCCTCATGCAGGCAGATGTGTGCGTCTGCTTTTCTATCCCTTGATTTTAGCTGGACTCAATATTTATGTCTGTGTGATGTTTCAGTTTTTCCTTTTTAAATTCAGTTTTTCTTTTGATACTTGTTGAAAGAAAAGTGAAGGGGCCTCAATACTTTGGAACACTTGATCCAACTAAGCCATCATTATTGAAATTCACTTCCTTTATTCTTTTCTTACGGAGCCAAGTCAAGCTGACCAATCAGAGCTCAGTCACAACCGACCGAGAACCCAATACAACTGACAGATACAACTTCCTGTTTGTTCATTGAATTAATCTTTATTTTCAGTATGAGACAACAACAACAAATTAACATGCAAGTCTCCCTATCTCTACATCATGTTATACAAATAATGATTCTTTAGTTACAAAATATATTTATATAATATTTAAGACCATATGTACATCATATTTACACACTACATCCATTACTTTATTAGGTTTATTACTATATATACATTTAACAGGTATTATTCTTTAATATTATTATGATTATTATTTGCATTATTATTATTATTGTTAGCATTATTATTATCATCATTATTCTTAATCATCTATAGGTAACTCAAAATAAAAACAAAGCATGTAGCAGAAGATAAAACGGGACCATACCTGACGTTACTGTGCCTGAATGGTCAAGGAGCAGAGGCTGTGCGGCGCTCTGTCCTTGGTAAAGCATGGAGAGCTGGCTATGTAGAGCACAAGGTTCAACAGACTATTTGTACAAGGTGATAACGGCTAGCGAGCCAACACTATATTCCAGCAGCATTTGGATTCCACTGAGGTAAACAATGAAGTAGCTTGGAATCTAGCACGTAGCTGTCACTATCCCAACACGATTTCTGGTCCACATAGGATTAGAAGTTTTACCGCAGAGGGCCTGGATCACTGAGCTGCGTGAACGTCGACAGTCAGATCACTGCAGTTTGACCAGTGTTACCTCCAAACTCTAAATGGATCGATTGATCTCCTCTGTAACATGGATACACTCACAGACACGCACAGACACACACACACACACACACGTCATGTTATTTACCCTGACCACAGTATAGTCAGATTCATCAGTGCCTCCTGGTACCATCAGCAGCGTTGATCATTGTAAACATTTCTGTTGTGTAAGCCAGCTGAGCTTCCTCTTATGATTAGATCATTCTGTGTAGGTGTGCACAAACACTACGCAGTGTAGAGTTGTGTAAGTTCACAAGCACAAAAAATAGGCCGTTTTCTCTCTTCAACCCCAATACACACACACACACACGCACACACACGATACTCATCACTGTCAGCTGTCTCACTCTCACCTTCCCACTCCCTCTGTTCCTTCTCTCTGTTGCTGTAACTGTCTCGCTTACCTCTGTCCCTTTCATTTCTTTCTCCTGCCCGTCCCTCACCATCTCTTTGCTCTACATCTACGAAATTATGCAGTTTTTGCTCTTCCTCCTCTGGCGAGTGTGCAGCTGGCCGTGAATCGGCCCATGCAGAGGTCCGTGATGGCCGGCCATCCCAGAGGGGCTGTAGCGATGGCGCAGCTCCTCGTTGTTGATGTAGCACAGCTGCACAGGCCGAGGTATTGGCTCGCCCAGGAAATAACCCTCATCTCCCTCTGACTCGGAGGAAGAGGAGCAGCTGGAGCACCAGGGGTCAGCAGCTTCCATGTACCCGTCAGTCCAGCGTGGCCCACCCAGCCCCACAGGTTGCCAGCCAGCATTCTGCAGGGTGAGATCAGAGGTGGTGCGGGGGCAAGGCCGGTGGGGCTGCTGCCTGTACCCACCTGGCTCCAGACCAAACATTTCCCGAGCAGCATGACCAGAGGGGAAGCGATCGTAATCCTCCTGAACACGGCGGTAGGGCAGCTCCACCATTTGAGCAGGTCGGTCAGCCACCAGGTGCAGTGCGTTATCGGAACGGGAACGCCGTGAGCGTTTGTGGTGGCGGCCACTGCGGTGCTGCCCGTTACCGTGGTTTCCACGATGGTGTTTGCGGACTCTTGGTTGAGGCGGCTGTTGCTGTGACACAGATTCCTGGCCGGTTAAGCGACGGCGGGGCATTCTGTCACTCATGGGGGCCATCCGTAGGTTTCCACTGCTGCCCATCACCCCAACACAACCTTTACCATCAAAGCTCAGTGGCTGAGGGCCGTCCCAGTACTGCAGTGGGTAACCAACTCTCAGTGGAGCGTACATGTTGTTGTTGATGGGACGAGAAGAGGACAGAGACTCTGTGCTGTGGCACTGGATAGAGGAACTGAGGGTGCCCATGTTGCTCTTTTCGGACACGTTCACTCCTGAGTCCTTACTTAGGTCGGGCATGGAGAACCTAGACAAATGCTCCTGACGCTTACTGACCCCATCCAGAGAGTTACCTGTTAAACCACAAATCCCATGTCAAATTTTCAGACAATTTATTATCGTATATATCATTTAATAGCATGCTATTTTACTTATATCACTGTACCTGCAGCGTGAGACATAGTCAGGGAGTCCATGGATCCACGAGGAGTCTGTTCTAGAGGAGTAAGAGGCTCATTGAAGCTCATGGCGTTGATGGGGTTCCTCCTGGTGAGCGGGGGTCTGCCGTTTCTCTGGAACCCGTGCAGGCTGATGCTCCTCTTGTCAGAGAAGCCTTGGTTCTGGCTGGACATCTCATTGAAGCTCATCTGAGTGCGTAGCTTGTTGGGCCTGAACTCATCCTGGCTGTGGTGGATCCAGTTTTCATTAAAGGAGTGGCCCCTCAGTGCTGCCATAGGGGTCCTCTTGGCATTGCCTTGTTCCTTTCCCCAGGAATCAGGCCTCTTTCCTGGGTTGGCAGGATTCTGGACTGGAGGATGAGCGTTTGCATTGGGATTGTATCCCTGCCTGGAGTTACACTGACCCAGGAGATGTATAGGTGTAGGGGCCGGGGAGGGTTCCCGCTGGGGGCCCTCATAGGCAGCAGGGCCGTAGGACTCATCCCGACTCATCCACACCTGGTTAAGGCTCGGGGCACGGCTTGGAGTGCGACTGGGTGTACGGTTAGGCGTCCTGCTTGGAGTCTGGCTTGATGAGAGACTTAAACGGTCCATCTGAACAGACAGGGGATCATTTTCAGCAGACAGACGATCGGGCATAGGTGGAGGAGCAGATTGGCGAGCATCAGCACTCCGTCGCTCCTGCTCTGCATTCCTACGCTCCTTTTTCCCTATCTTGGTGCTGTGGCGAGATTCACGGGAACGGGCGCTTTGGAAAGCTGAGTCTGAGGAGTCGGACTCATCAGGATCCTAAATAATTCAAATAAAACAGATGTACTGTTTTGCACTGTTTAACCCCTAACATGCAAAAATATAGAATAATCAGAAAAAAATAGAAAATTTCATATAATCCTTTTTTTTCTGGTCCCCTTACCTGTCCAGCGCTGCAGGACCGTGAGCAGAAGATCTGTCCCTGCTTTGGCAGGAAAGGACGGCCCATTAGAGAGCGCTTACAACGGGCACAGCAAAAACATTCCTCAGTTGCGTGCCAGTGCTGCCCATCATACGTCATCTGTCCTTGGTCGATGCCTTTGGTAAAACAGGAAAAATAGCACTTTGAAACAAAACATACCAGAAACAAGTTTATTATTGAACACAATAGGCGGTCTAGCTTTCACTGCATAAACCTGGTAATGTGATGGCAGCTATTTCTAAAACTAATGTAGAAATGTAATTCTACCAAGTCTGTGCTGCCGGTGTGTTAAGCTCATTTTGCCTGTCAGTGCTGAAACTGAGTAAATTTTTGTTTCTGTGCCCAAACATGATCCCTTGATCTGTAAGATACATTTTACTAGCTTCTCTTGCAAGCCAGAGGAAGTAATCATCTTTCACAGCTCCCATCTGGAGTCAACATGGGAACATCCTCTGAAACACAATCTTTCACTGTTACTGGAGCCTGGGATGATAATAACCATCCATATCTCACTGCACAGACTCCGCCTCTTCACAGCTGTGGCACACAGAGCTAATAACACCCACACTTACAATAAAAGGCTGTTGGGTTTTCTGTGATGTTTTGTGAGTGTAAGACAAACAGGTCCATGTGTTTGGTTAGCAGTTCATAACAGAGGAGTTAAAGCAGCAGTAAAAAAGAACCTTTTATGAAATGCATGTGTGCTGTACCTATGTGTTCTCCACATGCATCACAGTACTCCGCGTAGAGGGACTCAAAGCAGTTGCAGCAGTGTGGTCGTCCATCCTTCATGATGTAGCGCTGGCCGCCGAGGGTGGTCTCACACTCGTAGCAACAGAAGTGCTTCATGTGCCAGTGTCTGCCCTCCGCCTCGGTGCATTCATCAGCAAAGATTATCTGCATGACCCAGACGTGACTCATCAGCAGAGACATTAAACACTGAGAATCCATGAGGTTGAGGGAAGTGATGACAATAATGTTTTACTCTTAACGGTGAACAATACACTTTTATTGTTGCTGTTGATGTCTGGGGTCCCTCAGGGCATATCCCTCATAATTCTTTACCCAAGGAAAATGGTTCTTAATCTTTTTGACCAAAGACCCCTGAAAATGAAGGAATGTCGGCTGCGGCTGACGGGACAGAGCAGTTGTCCTCCAACCAGAAGGACCGCAGCTTTAATCCCAGCCCATGCCGAAGTATCCTTGGTCAAGATGCTGACCCCCCCCAAAAATGGCCCCTCATAGATGTTGAATGCACTCATTGTAAGTCGCTATGGATAAAAGAGTTTCAGCTAAATGACATGTAATGTAATGTCTACTTGCACCCCATTATCACATGTTGCATATGTCAATGACTAGTTAGCAATAGAGAGTGATTTATCCTCATCTCAATTAGTCATGGGTAATTTAAACTACAAGTACATTTTGTTGATCATACTCATGTACCTAGTAAGTAGGATTTTTAACGCAGGACTTTACTAAATTGATGAACACCACTGATACGTCACCTTGAGAAAAAAACATTGTGTTTATATTTTATACAATCGCACTGATGCAGATCATGATGTTTCAAATTATGAGTTCGTCCAAAATTGTTATTACATCTTGACGTAATATCAGATCAGAACAGAACGAGTAGAGCAGAACGAGTGATACAAAGAAACTGAAACAGTTCTCTTTTAAGTAAACAAACCTTTCCAGACTTAAATTACTGCAGACAAGTGTGACCATGTTATTATTGTTATCTCAGGCCTGCTCGCCTCACATTATGAATAGAAAACAAACAGACTTTCTCAGTCTGGCAGGAATACTGAGACATCTTTTATCTCCAGACTAGTTTCATCCACATCCAAGTCATTTCCAACCCTGAAGGGCTCCAGGCCCAGACAGACACACCTCATCACAGGCGCAGCAGCGGGGTTTTAGCCTCTCGGCGTGGTGCCGCCCACAGAAGATCTTGCCATCTTGGTAGAAGTAGATGAGATCCACCAACAGCTCCTCACACATGCTGCAGACAAAGCAATGAGGGTGCCAGCATTTTCCATGACCCGCCCTCGCAGCAAAGACCACGATGTCCCCTCCGTTTATCTGACCACCACACTGTAGTAAAGGAGAGGAGACAAGATGCATCAAAAGGGAAAGTAAGAAAAGCAAGCAAGAGGAAAGGAGATGAAAGAAGAGCAAACAATAAAATTGTACAGAAAGGAAAGCAGAGGGAAAAAGGAGAGGAGAGGAGAGGAAAGGAAAGAAAGAAAAGGAGAGGATAAGAAAGCAGGGGAAAGGAAAGGAAATGGGGTGGAAGTGACAAATATAACAAATTGATAGATATGGAGAGGAAGAGTGAGCAGATGGTACTTGAAATAACTCTTCAATATTGAAATGTCTTCTACTTCATATCTGTGGCATTAATCTGATGGAACATCAATAAGAAACTGAGAACGTCATTTTAAAAAATGGTCTGAATTATTCAAATGGAACAGACAAATGCAGATAAATGAAAAGTGACATGAGATAGACAGAAGCCTTAAAGCTCGTTTCGTTGTCCTTTAATGTCTTCAGTGGTCGTCGAGTTCACCTTATCACAGATGGCTCCGGTGATGGTGAGGGGGAAAGGACGGACGTTGCCTCTGCCCAAGTTGTCTTTCTTCCTCTGGTTGCTGAAGATCTTCAGTTCTCGTTTCTCCTCTTCATCCAGCGCGTTACAGTAACGCACCTGAAATACACAGTTCATCATCATGAGAACTAGAATTCCTCCAAACGAGTGGACGTCACATTAAAATCTTCATGTGTAGACGAGGAGTTTTCTACCTCGTTGTCATGCGGTGGCAGCTGGTGGAGCAGTTGTTTGATGCGATATTTCTCTCCGGGGCTGTTTATGTAGGGGACCTTCTCCTCGGGTAAGGAGTTGTAATACTGATGCACCTGAAACAAACCAACATCACAGTTGTGTTAACGCATGTAGATTTACAATTCGTGTCACATTTTCATTGCCTGTTGTGGGAACAGGAAATATTTTACATTTAAACCCCAGGAACATGTCCGGAGTTCAGTGCATGTGTGAAAGCAGCTACAGTGACATCATTATGCTGGGTGCAACATTTCTATAGATCTAAATGATTTTATTAATTCATGGTGACAAACCCACGTATATTAATCTAATCATTTTTCTCATGGTCTGCACCATCGCTGCATTTAGAAAATCAGTGTCTGGAATCGAAAGTGTGAGGCACGATGAGCTCTGCGCCTACACACAACCTTGAACGGCACCAGCTTCTTTAAATTTTCAACAGCTAATATTCTCTTTGCTTAAAGGAAACTTCAGTTATCCACACTGGTACGGCAATTAGAATTCATGACGCAGTAGGACTTGGTATCCGTGGCCTGAATCTTCCTCTTCTTTATTTGCATGTGAAATAGCTGCTGAAAAAGACACAAAAAGCTTTGTCTCTGAGTTTTCAGCAAAACTGTGTTCTAGTGTTCGCTGCAGTGTGAAAATGTAGTTTGTGGAAGTTGTTGTGATCCAATTTACATAATCAAAGGGGCAGCGGGTGGGAGGATGAGGAAGGAAGAGCTTGGAAGGAAACCGATAAAGAATTAAAGGAGTATCAGTATATCACTTATAATAATATAGAAGATTTTGCAGCCTGCAAAAATATTAAACCTATCAAACCGAAACTAATGATTATTTTCACATATGTAAACTATTTACTATATTAATTGATTGATTGATTCTGTTCTGAAAATACACGTGGTTATTTCTTAAAGCCCAAGATAACACCTTCATGTTACTGGCTTTGTGCAAACAACAATATCCAAAGACTGACAAGTTCAATTTACTACAGATCAGAGAACTAAGGAAATATTCACATTTGATGAACTTTGATGTTTTATTTGAAAATTACTTACTGACTTAATTATTTGAATTGCTGCCATTTGTTAATCAATTAATTGATTGATTGGCCTTTTCAAAATAACTAAGTGTATGTGAGATTATCCTAGTTCCTAACAATGATCTTATTATGAAGAGTATTTAGATTAAATAAAAGTAAATATAATAACACTACATTGTCAAAATGCTTCTTTTATAAAAAAATCTGAGAATAAATGTTTAGATAATCATTTCAGCCTAATTGTGCTTTATATATTAATTTCATCTTAACTCATATGTTTGTAGGCAAAAATCTGCAACTAAAGAAACTGAAGCTGTCAAATAAACGTGCAGTATTTCCCTCTGAAATGCAGTGCAGTAAAGTACAAGTACCTCACTTGAGCACAGATAATGATCAGAGTTATTATCTACTAGAAATGTAGCCAGAGATGGTCAGAAGTAAACGGTTCTGCCAGGGACACCACATTTGGAACATTTTGTCAGAAACACTTCAACAAGTCAGTCCTGACACAAACGAACTCTATTGTCACTGCAACTGCAAGTCAAAACTTTTCTGCTCTGACAGCTCGACGGACTGTAACATCTACATGGAATGATGATTTTCTTTTAAAATGTGAGTCACATTAATGGCATTGTGCAGAGAGGAGGCAGAAGTGACAGGCTTAAAAATCATTACATTCAAACGCATTAAAAAAAGCAACAGCCAGTCACAATTGCCTGCACCTCCTGTTGGCAGAGCGGAGCTGCAGCCTCTTTCAGCATCCTGTCAAGATGGCTGACTGGTGAAAATGACTGTTATCAGCCCAGCCTGTCATCTGTTAACACAGCCCTGGGAGGCCTATTGCATTGGAGTGCCGCTCTTACTAAATTAGGACAGAAGTGTTTATACCAAATGTATTTGAGCGGCGCAGCGTTATCTCATGTCAGAAAAGACAAAAACAATGGACATAATAAAAAAAGCAATGACGAGGAAGTATCTTCTTCAGGATGTGCACAGTTGATTACATTGGCTGGGTCATTCATGCAATTAAAAGGCATTTAAACTGCAAATGAGTGAAGACAGGGGATTATGAAACCTGCACACATAAACACAACGCCACACATTTTCAATTAGAGTCATCCAAACAGTCAAATTACTTCCATCCCTTTGGGTTTAGGTTTTCAAGGATGCACTAAACTGCAGAACAAAATGAGGCTTAGTTACCAAGAGCACCATTAAAGGGAAAATGGCATTATACACATTCAGTAGTTGTGGAGAATGTATCTATATTCATTTTAGAAATAAGTAATCATACCCTTAAATAGTGATCTAGGAAAATCCCCTTTTAATCGTCATGGATTAATATAACCTCATACATTTGAATATAAACTACTTTAAATTAACTAACAGATTGATTCACAAAGTTTCTCTGTCTTATATATAGTATAGATATAAAGTCATTCCATTTCATGATACAGGTTCTGATTGTCATTCTGTCTCACTGTGAACTTGTGTCCTACACAGTGAATAATGATTATTCTTCCAGGAAATGTCTGACAGCTGTGTCTCAGTGATTTGTATGTCACCCACCCACCCCGCCACCTCCTCACCCGAACCCCCTACGCCCCCCCCCCCAGCCCAACCCAGAGAGACTAAAAGACCATGAAGGAGATTTCAAGACAACAATCATCCATTGTCTGGTTTTCGGATCAGGGAATTTTCCATCTCCGGATTACAAAGCAAAATGCCTCAGATTCTTAAACGTCCAAATAATTGAATTCTTCTGAACAATTTAATTCAATTCGATGTCGTCTGTCTGTGTCGGACAAGATGAGCATCAGCTCAAATATGTGGCCTGAGAGAGAGAGGGGGGCGTCGAACTTGTGTACCTGCTCAGGACTGAGGGCGGGGGGGACCCAGGCATATTCCTCCAGCGCACAGCCAGAGTCGTCGTCAGAGGTTGAGTTCCTCTGGAAGTCGTACATCAGCTTGGTGATGGTCTTCTCCATCTCCAGAGACATGGCTGTCACAACATGCTCCTCTACACAAACCAGTTCAGTGGACACAGGTATTCCTGTTGAGGAAAAAACCAGGAGATTGAGAGGGAGGCAAAAACAAGATTGGAATAAAAAAGAGAGTATTCAGGCGGCAGTTCAGGCAAGAATGGTCATGAGATGACATATCTCCCTGACGCCCACAAAACTTTAAAGTCAAAACATTTCCCTTAGTGCTAAAGAAGAGTTGAATATTTTTAAAACACACTCACAAATCAGAAAGGCAGGTAATATTTTTAATTCACATTTTTTTATGTACAGGTTGTGTGACCACAGAGAGAAAAGGCAGAAAAATGTAAATAGAGTGATATTAATAATATACTATTGTTTCATGTTCAGTTATTAATGAGGTTTTTAACATAGACAGTATATAAAAATGTGACTCTACTTCTTATTTGATTAATAAAGTCAGTAAACAATTTGCTAAAGAGTTTATGGTCTCACCCATTAACAAGTGACATCACCATCCCTAGATCATGCAGGTAAAAACATCAGATGAGCGAACTGCATGTTAAATGTGTATTTCAAAAAACTGATATGACACTTAATCACCTTAACAATGCAGTGCCCACGACTTCATTATCTGACAACAAGGCTGCATGTGCATTCACTGCTTCCCTCGAAAGTATAGATTAAAGAATTGATCTGCTTTCCTTCTGTCTGATGGGAGAACAGCTGCACACGTTGCTGACACATGAATAATTTACAAAACTAGGTATCGCCCCCGCCACCAAAGTATGAAAATGACATGCAACTCATTTAACAGGCAACTAGAATATACAGTGAGACAGGAGCGAGTGAGCGAGCGAGAGAACGAGCTCTGTATACATCTCATGGCTCGTTATTCTGAAAGCTGATGAGTAGAGAGATGCTAGAGTCAATTAGTGTGAAGTGAAAGGAAACACTAACATTATCAGAGCCCAATATAAAATGAAAAACCTCTGAGGTTGTTGTTATTCAGTCTGAGCACAATCTGATCAACGAGGACACACCGACAAGATGTCTTCATTCTGTCTGTAGGTCACATATCAAGGTCATAGCATAATCATTGCAAAAAGAACCCCCGTGTCATGGCCGGTGAGAATCTGTGACCAGGCCGTGACATTTCTGATTCAACATGATTTCTCCCAAACTATGAGACAGATCATTTTCCGGCAGTTTCAAACAGAAGCTACAGCGTTACCTCCAGATTAGATATCACAGAAAAACAGAGCAGAAGCAGTGGCCACGGAACAGCAGACATTTCTACAGACTGAGCCAGTGAGTCAGCCTCCATCCAAGCAGAGCTGAGTACTGTTTATCTCCCTAAGATGGGTGCTGCTGATTTCTTTGTGAGGAGAGATTGCAGGTATGTAACCTTGAACCTCCAGCCTGGCCTGAGGCGATCAGTCATTAGAGTACAGAGGCCGGGTGAGAGCGTTCCTGCTGGGAATCCTGTGGCCTGATGCACCAGTGTATACGTCAGTTTCAATGCTGATATGAAATCAGAGCTGTGTACTAGACAATAACTTAAGTACAAAATTAATATTTCAGGTATGAATTCTAAATCATTTTCACTCAATCAGAACAATTGACATTTTTTGCTTGTCCTTAGTTGGTTAGCCTATAGCTTAGCAAGACTGGAGCTAGGTTCTGTCTTGAGATAACAAAGTCCTCAGACCAGAGCCTTTAATATCGTATAAAATCAACATCGAGTGTTAAATGCTAGACTGTCAGCTGCCTGTCACCGTGCCTGGTAAAGACACAATCCTGCACAAACCTGGCCAAGAAAGCAAATAAGTGTGTTTCCCAAAATGCCAAACTATTATTCAAATATTGTCTCAGCAAGAATACCTCATTCAGCTTCGTTAATATTTCACACCACCAGTGCAAACGATTGCGTCTCTGTGATGTTCCACTGCAGTTTGTGACTGTCTTGTTTTTCTGTTGTGTTTTGAAGGATCACTCTAGCTCAGTTCTAATCTGGGCCTAAAGAAATGTTCATGTGGTCTTTAAGAGAAGCAGCTCACTACACAACTTTGAAATGATTCTACTCCTTGTCTACAAAGCTCTCAAGCTTCTTGCCTCTCACTAATTCACTGATCTCCTTAACCCATATTGTGCCTCCAGGTCACTTGGGTCTGCTTCCTTTCAATCGCCTTTCTCCTGTCGATACTTAGGTAGACCGAGCTTTCTCTGTTGCTGACCCTGAAATCCAGCTTTTTAAATCTAGCTTTAAATCCAGCTTTATCTTATTATTCTGTCACTTTTGTCTCACTTACTTTTATCCTATGTCTCTTTTATTGCATTTTTCTCTTGCACTCTCTTTACTGTCTTTTTATTCTTACTAATGACACAGCAGCCCTTTCAGTTGCCAGTTAATGGAGCTCCAATGTTCCGTAATGCTACTTGTTGTCCATTAGTTGAAAATCTCTGACTGAGTGTAACCGGGCAGCTGTGGTGCAGTCGAGAGGGCAGTGGTTCACTCCCATTTCCATTCCCGATGTCAAAGGGCAAGATGCTCAACCTGACGGATTTGCCATTGTCATAAGAAAGGGCTGCCCATAGATGCACTGTATGAGTGTGTGTGTGAATGACACTGTAAAGCACTTCATCAAGAGTAGAAAAGTACTATATAAATACAGATCATACAGATCATTCATGTCTGACCTAGTAAACCTTATTTAGCATAAAGACAGCTATTCGTCATTAAAATAAGGAAATGCAACGTCTTATTTAGAAGTTTTATCTTTCATGCTAACAAGCTAGCTACAACTGTATGATTATCACCTGGGTTTTTGTTGGGAGATGAGCGGTGTCAGCATGTTCATTAACAATGAACTGGAGGAGGCTGTTTCTGTTCACTCATTAAGAAACGGCTCCAATCTGAATAAACAAACTGCTCATTAGGAAAAGACTGTTTTCTATGTCTCCACATGTTACACACAGGATGCATCATGTAAACCCTTAGAGATGCTGGATGTCACTTCCAGTGAATGAGGATGTTGCTCACTGCTTCCACTGTTTGTGCAAAGCTGGAGCCAAACATGATACATGACTCCCATGATGCCAGAATATCTGTGCATTCACGTGCTCTATGGAAGGTCCCATTTCTCGAGTTGCGTAACATAACGTGTGTTAATGTGCAAAATGTGTTGTATTTATGTGTTTAGAGCATTTAAACAGCACCCTGACGCCTATTTCCGATATTTGCATAATAACAAAAAGGAATGAGGTGTGACAGGAATACAAATCACTTGAAATATATGCACATTAATCACAAAAAACATCTGTGTTGGCTCAAAAGTGGTGTTAGATGTTTGTGAGAGATAGACATGCAGTTTGCAAGTGACAAAAGTATGACATTTGATAAATTCACATTAAAAGATACTATTTAAGATTAAGATTAAGATTTAGAGCTGATTGTAAAATTATGTCACTTGGTTTATAAGCAATGACTTCAGCGATTTGACAACTTGTATGTACATGTATTTTCCCAGTTGGGAACAAATTTTCCAATTATTCTGACACTACATGAACGCACAATAGTTCTTTAAATGGATCAAGTTTGCCTGATGAGGGTCTGTGTGTGAAACATTATTTTTCTAAGCCTTTTTCAAGGCAGACATTTTTGACAGGGCATAGCAGGAAACCCACAGGTGTAATGAGTACCATGAATCATGGTTCGGTCCATTGTAGTGTGCATACTGACTCGGAAATAGAGCCGTGATTAATGTTATGAATAACTCATAATGTCTTCTGTAAAAAAAATCCATCATCAAGGGCTGACACTGTGCATGGGGCACAATATGCTTGAAGAAATATA